ATCTTTCCTTCCTGTCCACAAACTATCCTTTCTGCATCAGCGCACTCCTGCTCTGATATCATTCTCTAGCCCCTTGTTAGCTTCTGAAGCCTCCTTTGTGCTCCTGCTGTACCTGTTCCACTTTTCTCTATGTCCTCAATACCCTTTTTAGGTAAAACCCTCATGAAATGAAGGTTTACGTAGCATTCCTTATTATGCTACACAGCACAAGAGTTGTTTTGATAGAAATCAGATTAACTATAATAGCTAATGGTTCAAAGAATTTGAGTCTTAATAGGAATAGCTAATAGGTAAATTTATTGAGTACTTATTATATGGTGGGTGCTTTACATTTATTGCCTGATTCAATTATCTCAATGATGTAATGAGGAAGATAGTAATTTTTTTGTAATCCGCACTCTACTGATGAGGGAACTGTTGAAGCTCAGAAGGGCTAAGTAACTTGCTAGAGGGTCAAACAGCTAGGAAGTGGCAGAAGTGGGGCCAGAACTAAGTTTGTGTGTCTCTAAAAACTGTGCCTCTTAGCCATTTGATTATACTGGATGTAGCATAAATGTAATTGGAAAAAGTAATGACAGAAAACTAAGCTCTTAGCTATTATATTACACTAGATGCATCATGACATAATTTTAAAGAGCATGATTTGTTTTGTGTTGAATATGAGAGATTTGGGCTCAGATCTTGGTCACTTCCCAGGTTTAACCGTCCAATCTTGAGCCAGTTATTTAGAACTTAACAGGACCTTCAAAACTTTGCGTGATCTGGGTCCTGTCTAGCATCCAATCTTTTCTCTCATTACTCTACAGTTATACAGCAGGCTCAAGTCCCACTGGCACTTCCTTCGGCTCCTCAGTCAAGCTCTTTCCTCTCTTAAGGAGCTTTGCAAATAATGCTTCTGGGAATGTTGTCACCTGCCTAATTCTGACTCATCTTTTAGCTCATCTTTTAGCACTTTCTCAGGCCTTTCTCCAACCTTGATGTAAATAAAGTACCTCCTGTTATTCTTCCATAGCCCATGCAAGTGAAGTGTTATATATTTTCATATTTCATGTCTGTTTCATTCGATCAGGGGTCCATAAACTGTAGCCTGCAAGCGAAATCCAAACACCCTGTTTTTGTCGGTAAAGCTTTATTGGAGCACAGCCACACAGGTTCATTTACATATTGCATATGGCTTTCAGACTCCTAGGGCAGAGCTGAGTGACTGAGACAGAAACTGTATGGCTCACAAGGCTAAAAATATTTGCTCTGCGGTCCTATACAGAAAAGTCTGCTGACGCCCCTGCAAAGCAGAGGATAAGCTAGATGACATTCTTGTTCACCACTGCATACTTAGTGTTAGGTACACCACAGTCTAGTAATATTTGTTGATTTCACCAATGAATTATTCAGCCATAAAATGGGACTTATTAATAAAAATTAATTGGAATTATATATATCTATGTAGTGCTTGGCATATAATTGGTAACTACTTTTATTAAGTTGTCTGAAAATTTCTGTAAGATAAATTAACAATTCATAATGTTATTTTTACATACTTGCTTAAGAAATCCATGTTGTTTAAGCATGAAACTAAGAAGTTTTTGTAAGCTTGGAAATGTCAAAAAAAATTAAACACAAAAAGGCTGTCAATTTTTATTCTCACCTAAACTATTTTAGGTATTGAAATTTCTGAATTTTAGCTGTTCCCAACTTCCATCATGAAAGACAGCTAAAGTAAAGGTAAAATTCATTTTAAACAGCATCCTGTTCACAACAGTTTTATTTCTTAATGATATACAACTTATCACATCAGTGCTGTAATATTTCATTTCACACTTGAAGTCAGTATTTCTTTTTCTGGCGAAAACATACCTTGTTCTGTGTATAGCCAAATAAACAAGTGCAACAGCAGAGCAGTTTTGGACAACTTTTAAGAAAAGATGACAGTGAGCCATTGTGTGAGGTTCTACTAGACAGTCTACGGTGGGGCAGCTTCAAAGAGGGCACAACAGCTAACATTTTTCTTTGGAACATGTGAACATGTACTTGAAAGAAAGCCCAGGTTAGAGGTGCCTCTACACAGTATGGTATGCTATTTCACATTTGCTGGTTTTGTTTATCAGAAGTGACCTACATATTTTAGGCTCTTTCCCAAATGACTCTTACAACTTCTCTCATAGTAGGTGAGAGGTGCACAAGACAAGCATTTATATGTAAGATGTTTAAAATTATTAATAGTCATCTAAAATAATCCCTGAAATATATATTCAAACCGCAGATTTCAGTTTTACTAATTCTGTTTAAAAGTATTGAACTTGCAGGAGAAAAGAATAAATATATCCTAAATACTAAAGAATACAATCAAGAAATCTATCTTCAGAATTCAAAAAAATGATGTCAAACTAAGCTGAATTTAAATAATTTTTTTCTTCTAAAGTTATTATGACTTCTAACATGAATGAGAGTAACAGAAATTGTAGCTGCAACTACATTTAAACAAAGAAAAGATGTTCAATTATTAGCTCAAAATATGATGTTAAAATTCCTTTTTTTTGTTGTTTTTTCCTTTGTTGTTGTTTTTTGAGACAGCATCTCTGTTGCCCAGGTTGGACTGCAGTGACATGATCATGGCTCACTTCAGTTTGACATTTCGGGCTCCAGTGATCCCCAAGTAGTGGGGAACACAGGTGTGTGCCACCACCACACTCAATTAATTTTTTAAACATTTTTTTAAAATAAGAGACCACGTCTCCCTATGTTGCCCAGGCTGGTCTTGAACTCCTAGGCTCAAGTGATCCACCTCCCAAAGCACTGGGATTACAGGCATGAACCACCACTTCTGGCTTTAAAATTCTTGTATCCCTAGAAATCCTGCCGTTGGTTACAACATGGGTGAAACTTAACTGGAGGACATTATGTTACGTTAAATAAGCCAAGCACAGAAGGACACATTTTGCATTTTCTCACTCATGTGTGGGAGCTAAACATTTTTTTAAAAATTAAACTCAGAGATAGAGAGTAGACTGATGGTTACTATAGGCTGAAAAGGGCAGCTTGGCATGGAGAGAGGAAGGGATAAAGTGGGAATGCTTAATGGGTACAAAAAAGAGATAAAATGAGTAAGATCCAGTATTTGGTAGCACATAGGGTGACTACAGTTAACAAGAATTTATCATATATTTAAAAATAATTAAAGAGTAGAATTGGAATGTTCCCAATACAAAGAAATGATAAATGCTTGAGGTAGGTATACCTCAATTACCCTGATTTTGATCATTTCACATTATTTACCTGTATCAAAACATCACGTGTCCCGTTTTATATGCAACTACTATGTACCCATAATAATTAAAAATGGAAATTAAAAAAATCTTGTATCCCTGTGTTTTCTTTTTCTTTATAAAGCATAATAAAAGCTTATGAATTCAACCTGCAAAAATTTTCTTCTAACTTTGCAAGCAAAAGAAGATCCAATGAATCTCATAAACCTAAAAATTATCTGGTATTGGTAATAAAGCGTAAATGCTAATTCATATGTTTTTGATTCTACTCAAAATAGGTTCTGGTCCAATTAACAACGTCCAACCAGTGTTACATGATGTTCAATATTTCAGTCTTAATTTCAGTTTCAGGCTATAGGCCAATTAAAAATTAGTGGTTTTCTATTGACACAACTGTTGCTTTTGGGCTTGGTCCGCAGCAAGAAACAAGGTGCATGAAAACACTAAAGGAATCCACCATAACTCTTAGCATTATTCACCCTTTAGTTCAACAGGCAGCCAAAAATAGTTCAAGTCGTGTGTACCTTAAAACAGATAATAATTTAGAGAAGTATAAACTTGAAAACCTGAAAGTTTCTCTACTTTTTAATGGCCTACTGACTTTGATGGTATAAATAATAATTTCTATTCATTCTAATTTACACATGAAACAACATTACGTTTAAAAAAATGAATCAATCAATTCTAGTCCGATTTATATGTCCAAGAAGCCAAAAGGGACAACAGAGGACACGAGCGTGTATATTTGTGGGGAAATTATAGTCTGGTGGCTGTCCCCAAGGATGTTATGTAGCCTTCTTCAGTGTAACTGGGCAGTAGGCAAAACACTCTTCCACTGTCCAAAAACAACTTCTCTGCAGCTTCCACAATCCATATGAGGTGGGTGGGACCCAGCAGGACTGTAATTTCTCCCAGGACCATTATTTGATATTTCACGTTAGGCAAATTACCCAGCTGTCCTTACATAGCCTAAATAAAACCACTCTCTCCAAGTGTGAAGAAAAATAGAGTCAAATTGCAGGCATTCGTGATACACAAGTCTTTAATGCTGAATTGAGCATCTGAATGTGTAAAGTCTTCACAACAGATTAATTGTATCACACAGACATTATCATTGGCATTCCAGAAAAAAATTGTATCACCATCTGCCTCTATGTTTATCAAATTCGGATTTAAAATGATATGAATTAACTGATAGTTCTTGCCTATATGTTTTAAGTTATTAATATCTTGTGTGGGTTTCTTTGTTGTTGTCAGCACAATGTTAAAATGTTTTGGATGTATTTCAAAATCTCATTTACTATGAATAAAAGGAGAGCCATTTTTATGGAGGATATTTACCCTATATATTACAAACCTTTAAATGAATGACTGCAAAAGGTCTAGTTCCCATGAATATAAGAATATATTTGTTTGATGATGCGTGCAATGCAGCAAGGCTATGCTGATTAACTCTCAATTATCAAGCTATTCATGTTACACAAGTACAGTTCCAGTTTAAAATTCATATTGAAGTGAAAAGTGAATAATCACACATGTGTAAACTGTATTTCTGACAGATTAAGTGATTTTTTTCTCCTTTATACATAAGAGACTATCAGCACTTTAACTGGCCACATTTAATTAACCCAAACTTCTCTTAATAGATGCTTACAGATGCAAAATATTTTCAGTACCCTTAACATATGTAGAGATAATATAATTAATAAATGATACCAAAAAGTTTACTCCACTTACCTGTCTGTTACGTTCATCCATAATCCTCGTAATCTGAATCTTTTTTCTCCCCATAGTCCCCGTTTTTCTTCTCTCTCTCGTTCCTGAAATTATGTATTTTTTCCTTCCTTTTCTTTCTCTTTCCTGTTTCCTCCAAACAAATCTCCTTCTTCAGCACTTGCACAGCTCAGTTCCCAAATTCCTGCATTCGTTCCTGCTGAACAAAAAAGAAAAATTAAATACCTCTCTAACAGCAAGTCAGTTTCATAAGAAATATCATATTCTAATTTTATCAAGAAAGTAAACTATATGCAGCTAAAGCAATAAAATGAATAAAAATAACTTTGTTAAAAGTATATGATATATCAAAGACAGGAGCATATCAAGTAGAAATGGTTTATTTTTTAACAATTAAAATAATCTCATAAGTAATTTAACAAGTCATTTAAGTGATGCAAACTATGCTTTTTAAAAGACTAACACTTGAAATGTATTTTTTTTGTAAAAAGTTTCCTAATCTTTTTAATGAAATTAGGTGACAGTTTCACCCTTCTGTTATGAAAAATTACCTAAATCAGAGAGTTAATGAACCTTTATGTACCTGTGTATGCTAAGTAGGGCAGCTAATTCATTTCTGAAGGGAAAACAATCTCCTGTTTTGACAGCAGAGGTGATAACGTCCCTCGTTATGCAAATAGGATGGACGATTATGAAAGTGCTATTTGATATATGTAAATGTCAACTAATTTAAATCTAAATCCTTTAATCTTAAAAAAATTACTGCTTTGAGAACACTGTAAAAATAATATGGAATATTTAATCTTACATTACAAGTACCTATCAGCAGTGAGATCTTTTCTTTTTGAAAGCCCCTAAACCATATCTTAGATAACAAGAATCAAAAAAGATAAGCACTGATAGAAAAGAAAAGGTGCAAAATTAAGATGATTCTTCCATTTATAACCATATTTTTATGACAAAATATCAGTCCTCTAAATTTAAGTATTTAGAAACAGACATATCACATGTCTTGCTGGAGTAAGATACAAAACTGAAGAAGCTTCATATTACATACTGAAGCTCTCTGGGTCATGAATTAAAATCAGAGAAATGATCATCAATAATATGAGATAAGCCCAAGAAACCCAGAATATTAAAAGTATATACTTCACTTTGTTTTAAGTTACCTCTGAAAATGTCTGAACATAATGCAACTGAATTGCTCTGAAACGTGAAAGTTAACAAGAAAGCATTCCACAATAGTTTCTTCATTTGTAAGCAACAGCTCCAATTATTCTATTTCATTTTAAGTCAATGAATGCAACGACTTTACACACTGCTCAGAATTTCCCTGTTTATTTTAGCTGGTGTCTGACAACGGACTTGATAAATTCCCACATGTATTATGTAATGCTAAGCCAATGTCCTGGCTATTTAATAGATTATTTGGCTTCAGTTCAAAGTTCTTAGAACAGGAAGGCTGTTACATATTCGGTCTGACCATCAGCTGTCTTTTGATTTCTTTAATTTAATTTCTAAGTTCTTTATCACCTTGGGTAATTTTGTTTTAAGTTTTTGGTGATTATTTAATTGCAGAAGCTATTATGACATAATCAGTTCTGGTGGATTAAGCGCTGCTTAAATACTAAGACTACCCATTCCCTTTTGCCCCACGGCTCTCTACTAAACTGCAGTTCAGTTCTGCCTCTCAGAATATGTACGTTGAGTAACATTATGACCACACAGTGCTCACCAAAAACTATTGCTCCAGCTGTAATTTTAAATGTTGGAGGTGGTTCAAAATTTTAAAGAGTTATAGAAACAATACACATTTGACAAATATACATAAAAAATAGTTATGGCATATCGGAATCACATTAAAATATGAAAAACCCACAAAACATAATTGCATCATATATTTGATGTTGCTAGACACGGTCCACCTATTTTTAGAAAAAGTCTTAAATGTCACTCAATGGGGCAACTTTCCTGTGTTTCCTATGGTCTTACCTTAGAAGCAAGCAGCATGTTAAAATGACATTTCCCATGCATGTGTAAGACCCCAGAGATACAAACAAGCTTTCTCTGTCACAGAAAGCCAATCACTGAATCCACAGCAAATGCACATAGGACAATTTCCTTTCCTTTCATCTAGCTGAGGCCCGTGGCACTATCGGCTTACAGGACTATGCCTGCCTAAGCGCTTATTCACTTCAAGGTGGAAGGTCAGGGTGAACAGATTAGAGTGTGGTGATAAGGCAGGAGAGGCAAGAACATCTACAGATACTGATTTCAAAATACAAATAACCAAACAAGCAGCGAAACATCCTTGGAGAAAAGTCTCAGAAAGACTGAGTTCCTCCATAACACCGCCCCATATTTCACAACTTTGAATGAGACAATTTTTAAAAAGAGCAGAGCAAGGACTTTAAACAAAATTTTTAAAACATGATGGGAAAAAATTTGCAAGAGAGAATGTGTGTCTCCATCTATATAAGCGGTTGATTAAAATGCCATTGAATTTATTTTCTTTTTTGAAATACGCAAAACAATGTAGAGAAAAGCAAGTTTAAATTTCAGTAGAACTAAACTTTTGTTTTCTGTATAAATAAATATTTCTTGAGGTATTGCCTTCTGAACATTTCTAAAATGCAAAAGTTGGTATGAAGTACACATGCAGAGTAATATGTGGTAATGATGACACTAAGTTACTGGTCATGAATGAAGTAAAGGCTCTCATGAAACGTGGTTTAGAACATTTTATTAGGGGTCACCACATTTCAAGGCTGTCAGTAAAATTTAAAGAATTAGGAAGGTCAACAATTAGCTCACGCATTGTTTTCTTAGCATAACATTTTCTCTAACCTAACTTTTATGCAAAAACTGTAAGGTCAGTTTCAAGTATTAATTTGTAGAAGGCCTAGAGAGGCAAAGAAAGAGATTAACTTTAGTAATCTGTAAAACTGTTTTGTGTGTATATGAAAAGGAACATAATAGCTAACCTACATGTAGTAAAATTTCAAGTTATGCTGAGAACTTTCATTATGCACAATCAACCATAAGCTTAAAATAATTCCAACAGCCTTGCCGCTACTTTTTCCCACATGAAAGAAGCATTCTTGGAAAATAACAGAGCTACATATAAATAATCAGTAATTTTTTAAAAAAGAAGAATAAATGCTCTACTATAGTTACACTCTAGGGTTATAGTCTTCTGCATTTCTTTTCTAAAAAAAAAATGCCAACCCAGATAAAAGAAACTAAAATGAAGCTGCTTACTAAAAAGGGGAACTTCATTATGGCAGGCTTCTGTTCATTTTGAGTTTGGCATAAGCAGGCAGATGAAGGCAAAGTGGTTTGAGACCCAAGTCGAGAAGAATTTCTTCTGGACAGATGCTAAAGATCATTCTCCCACTGGGCTATCTCATTTACAAACAAGTTCCCTTGAGTGACACACACCTCCCCCTCCCTTCCCTTCCTCCCTCCCTCACTCTTTCTTGCTCTCTTCCTCCCTCCCTCCCTCCTACAAATCTCTCCCAGTAGCACAGAAGAATTTTGACAGAATGGCAGGAAACACGCACACAGACTGGTCAGGGAAGGATATGATGTCAGCAACCACGAACAATAAAAGGTGTAAAGGTGCTTCCTTCCCTAAACTGTTCCAGAAGTGTAAAATGGGAACCAAAACTCTCCACTTCCTTCTCTGAGCAGAACCGTCTGAGTGTGCTGTGCTGCACAACCCACACACAGAGGCCTTGGAGAGGTTCAGATAAGGGACAATAAGGACAATTCAGAGCTGGGGCGTGATTTTTAATTTCCATCTTTAAAACACCTGAGAAAAATCCATGTCAGCTCTAGATTAGTGTTTTATTATGATTACTTTAAGAAATGAAAATAAGAAAACAAACATAAATTTACTTCACTGAAGTAGCAGACAGATAAATCTCAATTATTGTTTACCAGACCTTGCAAAAATAATCGTACACAGTTAATGCAGCCATATAACTGAAATTTACCCTTTGAGGCAAATGAAAAATTCTATGCAAGCAAAGACCCAAAATAGATAAATTAAAACTTTTGGTAAAAAAGAAAAAAAGAAAAAAAAAGACTCATATAAACCAGCAGGAAAAAAAAAAAATCAGTGCATGCTGGTAATATGTTAATCATTTGTTTGCTCCCACATTAAAAAAAATACATATATACTGAGGGGGAAAAGATTCTTATGGTTATTGAGGCTCTTGGGTTCTCTAAAAAAATTTCAAACTAGGAACCAAAGTAAATAACACAAACTTTGCATCTATAGTGAAACTATTTAATTTCCTCACTATTAAGTTCTTTCTAACATGGAAATGGCATTCTACATAAGGTTTCTGTAGGAAGAAAACCACATATCAAGTGGATCTGAGTCATCATCAGATTTCAATCATCTTCCCACAACACTTTGATTTAGAAGTTAAACATAACCTTCAGTTATGTGTTTTGATCTTAGAGTGAGACTGCCATGCCACATTAAAAGATGTGGGAAGAAATTAATTCTCTTCTGCTAAACTTATCTTTGCAAAGCTTGTATTTTGCTACAATAAGTACAATGCAGTCACTTAAATAAAAACAGGCTATGAATAATGATAAAACATTGAAATATGTGATGTCAGTTTTCAAAGAAAAATTCTGGTTTTCTTTTATTCATATGAAAAATATCTTTTTCATTGATTTAACATTTTCACTAACACTAGCATCCTCAAATAACGTTTTGTAAAAACTCGAAGCTGAAAACTGAGCACACTCTATCACACCACACTAAATAATACTGTTAAATAAATACAAGATGATTACGTCATAAGGGGTAAAAATGATCATAAAATGATCATAAGCCCAGTTGTTGCAAGCCTGGTATTACTAAATCAAGTAATTAAATGATTCATTATCTTTTTAAGTGGGAAACTTTGCTCAATATGTTGCATCTAGATACATTTGGCTTTCTACTTTATGATTTGTTTGAAAAATGGATGAAGCATGCAATTATATTTTGGTTAAAATGAACAGGCAGAACTTTTACTTTTCTTCCATTAAGAGCTATTCTAAACTTAAAAAGGTATAACCAAATCATTATTCCTATTGATGTTTGACTGTGTGTTGTCTTCTGAGTTGAGGAGTATTTCCTTGGTCTTAAAGTTGTTCCATTTCTCTCTAAGCTTTCCATGTATTTTATAAATG